AAATGTTTTGTTGATATTCAGTAGTAAAGTTCGACTTACGACCATTTCGACTTACGACCTTTTTCTCGGAACCGAACTCGGTAGTAAGTCGGATGGTAGGTGTATCTGCTATTGCAACCCCTGAATGGGTCACAATGTATATAATGTATATTACCTTTCCATATAATTTTATATTGCTTATATATGCGATAATAGCTAAATCGTAAATATACTGCTTTATATTATTATTTAGCTTAGTTATATTGTTAGGTAGGATGTAACATTATGTGCTCATAGCTCAAGTCTTGATTGTCTAACTACTGTAATTATCGCTCGTGGCTCATTACTCTGCCGGCTTCTCGGTGTTGCTGGGCAGCAACAATCCACGGAGCTATCACGTGATCGAGGGGGGAGTGTTCACACCTCTACTGGAGTAGTCAGTCTGGGCTAGACTCTCTTGGTGGTTGGACGTGTTCCTGACAAGACGTGCCTAACTCTCCCTTACTGGCCCTTGTTGGAAGATTGTCTCTGTCGCTTTATTGTTGTAGGTTCTGTGGAACTCTGTTCACAGAACATCGTCTAGACTTAGTGATTTTCGACACTGTACTGAGGTTGTGTCGCATAGACACTCTGAGCAACTCAGGTCCTGAGCTGTAGCTTCTGACCTAATTTGTACTGGTATCTGTGTACTGTCACAGTCGGGTATTTTCTTATGCTTAACTTTGATTCAGTAGTATGGGAGATGGGTGACTTTTGAGGAGGATCTGCAGATGGTCCCTACTTAGTGTTGTTATATTATCTCCTTGTTCCTGATTCTGTGTCGCTGTTGCTTGTTACATGTATTGCTATTGGGCTTAGCAGTCATTTTATTGTTCAAGCAAGCTGTTCTGATTGTCAGGTGGTCAAGAAGTTAGTTGATGTGAGGACATTGTCAGTCACTGGTTTAAGTCTAGTCGAGTTTTGAGACATAACGAACTACTTAAAGCACTTACACACATACACACAAACTTACTTGTACACATTAGTATATATTTATTTATTATCACACTGGCCGATTCCCACCAAGGCAGGGTGGCCCGAAAAAGAAAAACTTTCACCATCATTCACTCCATCACTGTCTTGCCAGAAGGGTGCTTTACACTACAGTTTTTAAACTGCAACATTAACCCCTTCAGGGTCCAAGGCCCAAATCTGAAGTGGTGCCCCAGTGTCCAAGAATTTTCAAAAAAAAATTTTTTTATTTTTTCTTATGAAATGGTAGAGAATCTTTTTGTGAGGGTAATAAAACAAAAATTACGAAATTTGATGGAAAATTGACGAAATTATGCTCTCGCGAATTTTGATGTGTCAGCGATATTTACGAATCGGCGATTTTGCCAACTTTGACTCCCATTTTAGGCCAATTACATTATTCCAGTCAACCAAATTCTTAGCTATTTCACTATTATTACTTCTATTCTATCGATTGAGCACAACAAATCGCCAAGTCAACTGCATATTGGAATGGACAGTGACATAATTTGTTTACTCTTAACCCTTTCAGGGTTTCGGACGTACTAGTACGGCTTACGCACCAGTGTCCATGACAAACTAGTACGCATAAATTCTAGCGCCTTCAAATCTAGTGAGAGAAAGCTGGGAGGCCTACATATGAAAGAATGGGTCTATGTGGTCAGTGTGCGCAGTATAAAAAAAATCCTGCAGCACACAGTGCGTTTTTGGATTAAAACAGAGACTTTGCACTATATTTTTATATGGTATTTATTGTTGTATTCTAGTTTTCCTGGTCTCATTGTATAGAATGGAAAACATATTACATAAATTCAGATGGTTTTGACTGGTTTTACAAAGAAAAGTACCTTGAAATTGAGCTCAAAGTAGCAGAAATGTTCAAGTTTTACCAAAGTTCAAAAGTAAACAAATCATGCTAAGCGTCCAATACACGTCAACTGGTGAGTCTAATATTCTTTCACTAGTGCGCCGATATTATTTATACCATTTCTACACTAATGCAATAGTCTGCATAACAGTAAATCTTATTTTTTTTGTGAGAATAAAAATTCAAAGTGGAAAGCAAAAAAAAATGTAAGAGGGGCCTGGGGACGTGACTAATGAACAGAGGAAATGTTATTTTAGTGCCAGGAATGTCTTTCTTGTTTATTCTGGACCCTAATTGGAAACTGGCTTCTTTTGAAATTTGTGTGAAATTGGCAAAATTACTAAATTCTGACCACTGTATTGGATAGTTGTAATCGGTAAATTGGTGGTTTCTTGTACTCATTCGATAGAAAAAATGGAGTTCTAGCGAAACAGTTATGATTTTTGTCGACTAGTACATTGGAATTGGCCGAAAATAGGGCTCAAAGTGGGCAAAATCGTCGAGACCGCTAACTTTGCGAGACCATAATTCCGTAAGTTTTCCATCAAATTTCATACTTTTGGTGTCATTATGATCGGGAATAAATTCTCTATCTTTCCATAAGAAAAAATAATTATTTTTTTTTTTAAATTTGGGGGACCCTGAGAACAAGTCTCTGAGAGGGCCTGTGGACCCTGAAAAGGTTAAACATAGCCAAGCAATGAACCATTTCTCCTGTGTTGAGCTCAATTTCAATGTACTTTTCGTTGTGAAAGCAATCAAAATCATATCTATTTCTGTAATATATCTTCCATTCTGCACTTTAAAGGAGGGGTTTGGGATATTGGCAGTTTGGAGGGATATGTTGTGTATCTTTATATGTGTATACTTCTAAACTGTTGTATTCTGAGCACCTCTGCAAAAACAGTGATAATGTGCGAGTGTGGTGAAAGTGTTGAATGATGATGAAAGTATTTTCTTTTTGGGGATTTTCTTTCTTTTTTGGGTCACCCTGCCTCGGTGGGAGACGGCCGGCTTGTTGGAAAAAAAAAAAAAAAAAAAAAAAAAAAAAAAAAAAAAAAAAAATCTTCCATTCTATCAAATGAGACCAAAAAAACGAGAATTACAACCATAAAAACCATATGAATATACCACTAAGGGGTAGCTAATTGCTGAGAAGTGAGCTCCATTATTTATACTTAGATTTCTTTCATTTTTGGTGTACGTTAAGAAGCATCTTTCCATCATACATTGCCCAAGTTTCAGTAAGATAGTCCAACAAACAAATGAGATACAATTCCCGAGATCAAGAGCAAGAGCCCCTCGCTAGTGTCAAGGAACCTGTCTGGAAATTTTGCTCGCGTATGGAAACAAAAAATCGACCCATCAACTGCTCGTATTTGGAAAAAATCGCACGTGGACATGCTTGCAAGTAGAGGTTCCACTGTATTTTACTCACTCTAGTGTATATATCATGTTTCTATGTTATTGTTTATTATGTCATATTACATGAATTGTGATAGATAAATAAGCCGTAGAGTTGATATTAGGGAAATTATTGAAGTATTTTCTCGTGCCTGGAATTCCACTGGAACGAATTAATTCCATTTCAATTAATTTAAATTAGGAACATTAACTCTGCAAACGAGCAAATCCAGATGTGAGCAAGGTCATGGAATGGATTAAACTCGTAAGCAGAGGTTCCACTGTATTCCTTCTGTTCTATCACTTGAGTACAAGGAACAGCCCATTTATTTATTTCACCTACCCAATAAAGTGATCAGAAATTGGTAATTTTGGCCAATTTCACACAAATTTAAAAAATTGATAAATTAAAAAAAGGGTCAAAAATAAAAAATGTAGACATTCCTGGCACTAAAAACAATTCTCTGTTCCTTAGTCACATCTCCAGGCCCCTCTTATAATATGCTTGCTTTCCATTTTTAATTTTTTATTCACGCAAAAAATAGAAGATTTACTGTATTCATACAAAAAATAGAAGATTTACTGTTATACAGACTATGCATTATTGTAATAATTGTATAAATAATGTCAGTGCATTCCTAAATACATATTAGACTGGCTAGTTGGATGCGTTTTGGACAAATGATGTCATTTCTGTTCTCTGGAATATTGGAAGAGTCAAACATTTCTGCTATTTTGAGTACAATTTCAAGTTGCTTCCAATCCTGAAACCAATCAAAATCATCTATATTTCCATAAAATATCATCCATTCTGTCAAACGAGACCAAGAAACTGAGAACACAACATAAAAACCATACAAAAATACACTGCAAAGTCACTGGTTTAAGCCATAAACATGGTTCCAGTTCTTTTTCTTATGCACTATGTACTGCAGGATTTTTTTCATATGGTGCACACTTACCAGATAGACCCATTCTCTCATATCTAGGCCCAAATTTACAGCTCACAGCTTATCTGAGTTAGCTGAGCTCATGGCCTAGTACAATGGGATCGTCCATGGCGTCAAAGCCGTAGTACAACAGGGCCGACATCGAAAGGGTTAATAGATGTACAGTGGTTACACTGTGGGTCAAATTACTATTAAAGCCATTTGACCAACTAAAATGTAAAATATGCCTTTTCTCCTACATCAAAGTATTTCTTTTTTTTAACATGGTGGCTGTCTGCCACCAAGGCAGGGTGACCCCCCCCCCCTTCCCAAAAAAACACTTTCACCATCATTCACATTATCACTGTCTTTACAGAGGCATGCAGATATGACAGTTCAAATGTTACTCCAAACAGCAAATATCCCAAACCTTCCTACTCCAAAGTGCAGGCGCTGTGCTTCCCACCTCCAGGACTCAAGTCCGGCTAACCAGTTTCCCTGAATCCCTTCACAAAATACTATCCTGCTCACACTCCAACAGCTCATCAAGTCCCAAAAACCATTCGTCTCCACTCACTCCTATCCTATCAAAGTATTATGGAGATATCCTCCTATTTATAATTCTTTTCTTACCGAATCCTTGTCTCTGCATTTTAACATTCAGATAATATTTTGCATCCACAATGCTTATTTATACTTTAGGCCCTGGTGGGTTTAGTGCTTACTTCTGATTGTAATAAAAATGATTTATACTTTGTTACTCAACTAACTCCCACATTAAAAATGAATGGATGTCAAATCAATAAATCTGTAGAAAATATTTTATTTTGTATACAGTAGTGTACAGGTGTATATGTGCATAATTATTGTAACATCTATTGTATTTAAGCTTACAGAAAATAAATGTGAAGTTTGGAATGATCTCCAAAATTCTGAAAATTACAAATTCTGAAAAATTTAAATTCTGAACAATCTACAAAATATGGAATATCTGAAATTCTAAATTTTCTGAAGAGGACAATTTTTGAATTTAAATTTTGGAAAAATTTCATAAGATTGAAATTTTGGGTCTTACTGGGGAACAAATCTGACTTTTCAAATTTCTTAGTTGGGTATTCCTGCATATGCACTATTATCCATAAAAGAAATATTGCACATCATTTACCCAATGTACTCAAAAGTGTTAATACTGATTGCTTTAAGTACTGATGTTCCTCTTCTCTGTTTTCCTCAGCTGCTGCTGTCCTTTCTTCCTTCTGCAGGTGCTGATTCAGAGGTTCACTTTGCCATTTATTCCACATATCTTTCACTTTACTGCCAAGCAATCTCACCTCATCTTCACTACTTAAATGTTCCTGAAGACGATTATATAACAGGTCCCAGTTTATTTGGTCATAAATCTGCAGAAAGATAGAGGCATACAATATATAATTTTAATATTATTTTTTATTATCACACTGGCCGATTCCCACCAAGGCAGGGTGGCCCGAAAAAGAAAAACTTTCATCATCATTCACTCCGTCACTGTCTTGCCAGAAGGGTGCTTTACACTACAGTTTTTAAACTGCAACATTAACACCCCTCCTTCAGAGTGCAGGCACTGTACTTCCCATCTCCAGGACTCAAGTCCGGCCTGCCGGTTTCCCTGAACCCCTTCGTAAATGTTACTTTGCTCACACTCCAACAGCACATCAAGTATTAAAAACCATTCGTCTCCATTCACTCCTATCAAACACGCTCACGCACGCCTGATATACAGTGGACCCCCAGTTAACGATATTTTTTCACTCCAGAAGTATGTTCAGGTGCCAGTACTGACCGAATTTGTTCCCATAAGAAATATTGTGAAGTAGATTAGTCCATTTCAGACCCCCAAACATACATGTACAAACGCACTTACATAAATACACTTACATAATTGGTCGCATTCGGAGGTAATCGTTATGCGGGGGTCCACTGTATATATATATTTTTTACACTGGGCATCTCCCACCAAAAGTGACCCAAAAAGTAAACACATTCACCATCATTTATTCAACTGTGAATTACCTGAAGTTATATAGGCATAAGTTGTTTATACATAATTACAGTACCATCATTATTTTATTAAATATTTTATTACTGCTAAATGCTATATAATTTTCCAGTATTTGTCTCTACTGGTACATTACGTCATTTTCCTCTTCAGAGCAGTGTTAGGGGAATAATATAGGATTAAAAAAAATTCTGCTGATGTGTTCTGTGAAACTAGTTTAATTGTAACTCATCTGTCTTTCCACCATATCTTTACCTGAAAGCATATCCATAATTTAATTTTACATGCAAGAAAAAACTAATAAACATGAGTGGAGGAATTGTTGAGGTGATCTGGACATTTAGAGAAGACAGGCCAGAATAGAATGACTAAGAGGGTGGAAAGAGTAGGGGGTCATCCCATGAAGTGTTGGAGGGTGTGAAGATTTTAAGTGGTATAGACTCAAGTATTTAACAGGCATGCTAGTGTGTTAGATCAAGGTGAGCAGAGACACATGGTTTTAGAGATTTGATGTGCTATTAGAGTGTTTGCAAGGTAACATTTATGAAAAGATTGCTGGAGCAATTAGTCAGGCTTGAGTTCTGGAGGTGGGAACTACAGTGCCTGCACTGTGAAGGATGGAATGTTACAGTTTGGAGGATCATTTTATCTGCGACATCTGTGAACTTCTAGCAAGATAGCTACTGAATTAATGATGACAATTATTTCCCTTTTCTGGGTCATCCTACCTTGGTGGAAGACTGCCAATGTGGTAAAATATAAATAAAAAAATCATTATCCAATATGATTTTCAAAGGAAATTTATGCTACAGAATTAACACATTCTTTGGATACAGAAAAATAATATACAAGATCAAATTCATAATTTCATTTCTGGCTAATAAGTGAAAGTGTTAACCCCTTGACTGTCGAAACCCCAAATCCTGAGGTGTCTTCTGGTGTTGAAAAATTTTTGGAAAACTAAAGAAAATTTCTTATGAAATGGTAGAGAATCTTTTCCAGATGGTGATGACACCAAAAGAACGAAACTTGATGGAAAACTTATGGAATTATGCTCTCGCAAAGTTAGCGACCTCAGCCATATTTACAAATAGGTGATTTTGCCCAATTTGAGCCCTATTTTCAGCAAATTCCATTGTTCCAGTTGACCAAACTCATAGCTATTTCTTTAGAACTCCATTTGTTCTATCGATTGAGTACAAGAAATTGCCCATTTACCAATTTCAACTACCCAATAAGATGGTCAAAAATTTGCAATTTGGCCAATTTCATGCCAATTAAAAAATATGCCAATTTGAAAACAGGGTCCAGAATGAACAATGCAGACATTCCTGGCTCCAAAATAACATTTTCTTTGTTCATCAGTCATATTTCCAGGCCCCTCTGATATTACTCTTGCTTTCTATTTTGAATTTTTATTCAAACAAAAAATAGAAGATTTACTGTTATGCAGACTACTGCAATATTGTAATAATTGTATAAATAAAGCCAACCCATTCATGACTGCATATTAGAATGGCTAGTTGGACATTTATTGGACAATGACATCATTTGTTTACTTTTGAACATCGACAAAAATCAAACATTCCCCCTACTTTGAGCTCCATTTCAAGATTTTTTTCATAGTAAAACCAATCAAAATCACCTCTACTTCTATAATGTTTTCCATTCTATCAAATGAGACCAAGAAAATAAGAATACAACCATAAATACTATACAAAAATACACCACAAATTCGGCATTTTAATCCAAAAAAACATTCGGATTTTTCTCATTATACACTGTGTGCTGCAGGATTTTTTTTATATGGTGCACAGTGACCACACAGATCCATTCTCTCACATGTGGTCCTACCAGCTTTCTCCTGCTTGATTTGAAGCCACTAGAATTTTTGAGTATACGTATATACGTCAAACACAGTGGCTCTTAAGACGTATATATATGACCAAAACAGTCAAAAGGTTAAATAAAGTATTTTGGAAATCAGCATGTCATGTATGATTTCTTTGTAGAAAGTCACTTAGAGCAGGTGATAAAGATTTTTGCATTTCGTTCATCCTGCTCCAATTATTTTTACTGGGAAGATCTAAACTAACAAGTGTCATACAGCACCTGGGAAATGGGAAGCAATATGGTGTAACCTGAGGAAGAGAGTAGTTCCTTTCCTTAGGATCAGGAACCCTTCACCAACATCCCTTGAAAGGATCCTGCTCTAATGGGAAACAACCCATGCTTAACCCTTTCAGGGTCGAGAGGCCCTCACCTAAACTTGTTCTAAGGGTCGAAAATTTTTCGAAAAAAATAAAAATTATTTTTTCTTATGAAATGATAGAGAACCTTTTCCTGATCATAATGACAACAAAAGTATGAAATTGATGGAAAACTTATGGAATTAGGCTCTTGCGAAGTTAGCGGTCTTGACAATGTTTACACATCAGTGATTTTGCCTACTTTGAGTCCTATTTTCGGCCAATTCCAATATACCAATCGACAAAAATCATAACTATTTCGCTAGAACTCCATTTTTTCTATCAAATGAGTACAAGAAACCACCCCTTTACCAATTTCAGCTATCCTGTAAAGTGGTCAGAAATTGGCAATTTTGCCAATTTCACACAAATTTCAAAAGATGCCAGTTTCAAAATAGGGTTCAGAATAAACAAGACAGACATTCCTGGCACTAAAATAACATTTTCTCTGTTCATTAGTCACGTCCCTCTTACATTTCTTTTGCTTTCCACTTTGAATTTTTTTCTCACAAAAAATAGAAGATTTAGTTATGCAGACTACTGAATTAGTGTAAAAATGGTATAAATAATATCAGCGCACTTGTGAAAGAATATCAGACTCACCAGTTGATGTGTACTGAATGCATGGCATGATTTGTTTACTTTAAAACATTGGCAAAAATTGAACATTTCTGCTACTTTGAGCTCAATTTCAAGGTACTTTTCATTGCAAAACCAATTAAAATCATTCAATTTCTGTAATATGTCTTTCATTTTATAACATGAGACCAAGAAAACAAGAATACAACCATAAATACCATACGAAAATACACTGCAAAGTCGCTGTTTTAAACCAAAAACACGGTCAGAGCTTTTCTTTCTCATTATGCTCTGTGTGCTACAGGATTTTTTTATGCTGTGCACACTGACCACATAGACCCATTCTTTCATATGTAGGCCTACCAGCTTTCTCTCACTAGATTTGAAGGTGCTAGAATTTACTCGTACTAGTACGGCACCAACCCTGCCGTGCAAGCCGTACTAGTACGACACTGACCCTGAAAGGGTTAAAAGCTAAAATAAATCACATTTAATATTTTTTTCTTGAGCTTACCTGTTGTTTAATTACTTCAGGGGCCATGGCAACTGCACACAGTTTACGTGTCTTGCTTGAATATTCTATGACCGTATCAACATATTGCACAGATTGTGCAATGAGCCAAAGATGTTTTCCTGTAACAGCTGGAGAAGCATACTCCAAAATGGTGGGTACAAGGAGGGTCAAACAATTTATAAATTCATGAACAAACAGTGAAGGAAGCCTTTTCTTTCTTGGTTCTAAAGTTTTACTTGATATGGTCTCACTGTTTAACTCTGTATACAAAACTTCTGAACTCGATTTGAGAGTATCAGAATCAAAATAAATACTTTCTTTCTTTGATTTCTTCCTGTAATCAGGAAAAGTTTCATTAAATTTTCTCTTCTTATCAACTTTATCTTCTGATTCTAGTACTGTATCTTCTGGTTTATCAATGTGATTTTTGTCACTGTAATCTTCTCTTGTGATACTGTGCATTAATGTAGACCATAAAGCTGATAGAACTTTCACAACTGCTGCTGCAAGTATGGGAATACTAGATGCAGTTTCTCTTAATGCATCAAGTTTATGTATAACAGTATGGCCAGGTAAGACAACTAATGGCAGCACAGTTAGTAAATTCTGGTTTGCTGTTAGCTCTACTGCCCCAAGAGGAATGCAAACCATTGCTTCTATTACTTCAAGGGCTTGCACCTGCAAATATGAAAAAAGTAAATTAGATTATAGTAGATAAAAACTAAAATGCCTCTTTTATGCAAGTCTTATAGAATTAGCTTTTCCTCATCAAGTAATTCTGATACTGTGTATACAAGGGTTCCCAACTCATGATATTAATTTATTAATGAAAATTTAAAGTTGACTGTTTTGATCTTTAAACCTATTTTTCCCATAGACACCCAAGTTATAATCAGAGATTCTGGAGGTGATGAGGAGTCTGCCTTCCCTACCATTCTAAGACTGAAGAAATACTTTCCAACTTCCCCGTGACTCAGCTGTGTTATTAGTTTCCAGCTGTGCCTGGAAATACCAGTTTCCCACTAAAATAGTCTGTCTCTGTCTGCCATATCAATTTCCTCTGAGTATTTTGTGTATGTCTTCCCTGGTCCTGGCTAGGTTTGATTAGTACCTGAAGTATTGAAGCAAATTCTTGAGTGGCTTTAGGATAAGGTTAAAGGTTAGACAATTAGGTGGGTGGGAATGATAGGTTTGCCATGTGTGTTGTGAAAGTCAACTAAAATGCTGGGAACAATGGGCTAATAACCCCTTTTCCTGTACAGCTTACTAAAAATAAGAAGAAAAAATGCCAAAGTGGGATGCTTGAATGTGTGTGAACATAGTGTGAATGATAAGAAAGAGGTGATTATGGATGAATGAAAAGATGCTGGATATCCTGGCTCTAAGTGAAACAAAGCTTAAGGGGGTATGAGAGTTTCAGTGGGGAGAAATAAATGGGATTAGGTCAGGGTTTTCTAATAGAGTTAGAGCTAAGGAAGGAGTAGCAATAATGATGAGGGATAAGTCATGGCAGGGAAAAGAGGGAATATAAATGTATAAATTCAAGGATTATGGGGAATAAAATAAGGGTTGGATGTGAAAAGTAGGTTACAGTAAGCGTTTATGTACCTGGGGAAGAAAGAAGTGTAGAGGAGAGAGAGAGATTTTGGGAAATGTTGAGTGAGTGCATGGGGAGTTTTGAACCAAGTGAGAGAATACTTGTGGTTGGGGACCTAAATGCTAAAGTGGGTAAAAATGTTGTGGAGAGAGTAGAACGTAAATTTAGGGTGAGAGGGGTAAATGAAAATGGAGAGCTTTTAATTGAACTATGTGCAGAAAGAGGTTTGGCAATAAGTAATACATATTTTATGAAAAAGAGAATAAATAAGTATACAAGATATGGTATAGCACATAATGAAAGTAATGTGTTAGATTATGTATTGGTGGATAAAAGGTTGATCGGTAGGCTTCAGGATGTTCATGTTCATAGAGGGGCAACAGATATATCGGATCATTATTTAGTTGTAGCTACAGTTAGAGTAAGAGGTAGAAGGGGCAAAAGGAAAATGGGAACAGCAAGTGAGAGAGAGAGGTGAAAGTTTATAAACTAAAGGAGAAGGAAGATAGGGTGAGACATAAGCAAATATTGGGAGAAAAGTGGGCTAGTGCAAGTATGGGGAGGATGGGGGGGGTTGAAGAGGGGTGGGATAGTTTTAAAATTGCAGTGTTAGAATGCAGGGCAGAAGTTTGTGGCTATAGCAGGGTGGGTGCAGGAGGAAAGAGGAGTGATTGGTGAAATGATGAGGTAAAGGGTGCGATAAAAGAGAAAAATGTCGCTTATGAGAGGTTTTTACAGAGCATAAGTGATGTAAGAAGGGCAGAGTATTTGAAGAGTAAAAGAAAGGTGAAGAGAATGGTGAGAGAGTGCAGGAGGAGAGCAAATGATAGAGTTGGTGAGGCACTGTCAACAAATTTTGCCGAGAAGAAAAAATTGTGGAAAGCTTAGGGAATGAATGGATTTGTCAGTAAAAAACAGAGTAGGGGAGCTAGAAGATATAGAGTTGGAGATATTGGGAAGATGGCAGGAATATTTTGAGGAAATTTTAAATGTTGATACACAAATAACCCGCACATAAAAGAGAGAAGCTTACGGCGACGTTTTGGTCCGACTTGGACCAATGACAAAGTGACTTTGTCAATGGTCCAAGTCGGACCGAAACGTCGTCGTAAGCTTCTCTCTTTTATGTGCGGGTTATTTGTGTATCGTTCCAGTCACGGTATTGTGCCTTTTTTGTTATTTAAATGTTGATGAAGACAGGGAGGTAGTAATTTCATGCAATGGCCAGAGAGGTATAACATCTTTTAGGAGTGAAGAAGAGCAGGATGTGAGTGTGGAGGAGGTGCATGAGGCATTATGTAGAATGAAAGGGGGTAAAGCAGCTGGAACTAATGGGATCATGAAAGAAATGTTTAAAGCTGGGGGGGATATAGTATAGGAGTGGTTGGTATTTTTGTTCAATGTATGAAAGAGGGGAAGGAACCTAGGGATTGGAAGAGCGTGTATAGTTCCTCTACATAAAGGAATGGGGAACAAGAGAGATTGTAAAAATTACAGGGGCATGTGTGTGCCAAGGTAGAAAGTTGAAAGTGAACATAGATGAGAGTAAGGTGATGAGGGTATCAAGCAATTTAGATAAAGAAAAATTGGATATCACACTGGAGGGAGCGAGTATGGAAGAAGTGAATGTGTTCAGATACAGCCTCTACTCACTTAGCGACATACTCGTTTACCGATGCCTCGGACTTACGACAGGCTCTCTGACCAGTATTTCTACCTCAATAATGTATATTATAGCTGATTTCCTCTATTCTGTTGATTTCAATACACGGTACACTACTGTATAAACATTTAAAAATATACCAGAAATGTTATAAATGGTGCAAAGGTGATATGAAAACAACATCAAAGATGGTTAACACAAACTCACTACCATTATAGTATGCTCCTCACTTAGTGATGAATTTGCTTAAAGATGTGGTCTTAGGAACAGAACTCTGTCGTTAAGTGAGGAGAGGCTGTATTTGGGAGTTGACTTGTCAGCAGATGAGTTTATGAAGGATGAGTTTAACCATAGAATTGATGAAGGAAAAAGGGTGAGTGGTGCATTTAGGTATCTGTGGAGACAAAAAACATTATCTATGGAGGCAAAGAAGGGAATATACGAGAGTATAGTGGTACCAACACTCTTATATGGGTGTGAAGCATGAGTTGTAAATGCTGCAGCAAGGAGGAGGCTGGAGGCAGTGGAGATGTCGTGTCTAAGGGCAATGTGTGGTGTAAATATTATGCAGAGAATTCGTAGTGTGGAAATTAGGAGGTGTGGAGTTACTAAAAGTAGGTATTAGTCAGAAGGCTGAAGAGGGGTTGTTGACGTGGTTTGGTTACTCAGAGAGAACGGAGCAAAGTGGAATGATTTGGAGAGAGTATACATCTGTAGAGGAAGGAAGGAGGGGTAGGGGTTGTCCTCGAAAAGGTTGGAGGGAGAGGGTAAAGGAGGGTTTGTGGGCAAGGGGCTTGGACTTCTCACAAAGGTGTGTGAGCGTGATAGATAGGAGTGAATGTAAACGAATGGTTTATGGGACCTGATGAGCTGTTGGAGTGTAAGCAGGGTAATATTTTTTGAAGGGATTCAGGGAAACCAGTTAACTGGACTTGAGTCCTGGAAATGGGAAGTACAATGCCTGCATTTTAAAGGAGGGGTTTGGCATATTGGCAGTTTGGAGGGACATCTAAACTGTCGTATCTGAGCGCCTCTGTATGAGTGATGGTGAAAGTAATGAATGATGAAAGTTTTTCTCTCTCTTTGGGTTTTTCTTTCTTTTTGGGTCACCTGCCTTGGTAGGAAATGCCTTTCACGTTAAAAAGAAAAAAAAGTTTACTGAGCATACCTGGTAGAGTGTATGGTAGGATTATTATTGAAACAATTAGAAGTAAGGCAAAGAGCAGGACTGCAGATGAACAAGGAGGCTTTAGAATGGGGAGGGGATGTGTAGATCAAGTGTATAGATCGAAGCATATATGTGAACAGTATTTAGATAAAGGTAGGGAAATTTTCATTGCATTTATGGATTTAGAAAAGGCATATGATAGGGTGGATATTTATCTGGAGAGAGTTTATCTGGAGAGAGTTCCGGGGGTCAACGCCCCCGCGGCCCGGTCTGTGACTAGGCCTCCTTAGGTCAGTGTCCCAGGATGCGACCCACACCAGTCGACTAACACCCAGGTACCCATTTTACTGATGGGGAACATAGACAACAGGTGGAAAGAAACACGTCCAATGTTTCTACTCTGGCTGGGAATTGAACCCAGGCCCTCACCGTGTGAAGCGAGAGCGTTAACCACCAGGCCACCAGAGCCCCCTATAGGGGGAGCAATGTGGCAGATGTTACAAGTGTATGGAATAGGTATTAAGTTACTAGTGTGGCTCAAGTTACGGTGTGTAGGAGAGAGGGTGATTACTTCCCAGTAAAAGTAGGTCTTAGACAGGGATGTGTAATGTCACCATGGTTGTTTAACATATTTACAGATGGGGTTGTAAAGGAAGCAATGCTAGGGTGTTGGGAGAGGGGTGGGATTAAATTATGGGGAATCAAATACAAAATGGGAGTTGACACAGTTACTTTTTTCTGATGATACTGTGCTTTTGGGAGATACTAAAGAAAAGTTGCAAAGGTTGGTGGACAAGTTTGGGAGGGTGTGTAAAGGTAGAAAGTTGAAAGTGAACATAGATAAGAGTAAGGTGATAGGGTATCAAGCAATTTAGCTATCACATTTGAGAGAGGGAGTATGGAAGAGGTGAATGTTTTCAGATATTTGGGAGTTGACTTGCCAGCAGATGGGTTTATGAAGGAAGAGGGTAACCACAGAACAGATGAAGAAAAAAAGGTGAATGGTGCTTTGAGGTATCTATGGAGACTAAAAATGCTATCTATGGAGGCAAAGAAGAGAATGTACAAGAGTACAGCAGTAGCAGCACTTTTATATGGGTGTGAAGCATAGGTTGTAAATACTGCAGCAAAGAGGCTAGAGGCAGTGGAGATGTCGTGTCTAAGGGCAATGTGTGGTGTAAATATTATGTAGAGAATTCGTAGTGCGGAAATTAGGAGATGTGGAGTTACTAAAAATATTAATCAGAGGGCTGCAGAGGAGTTGTTGAGGTGGTTTGATCATTCAGAGAGAATGGAACAAAGTAGAATGACTTGGAGAGCGTATAAATCTGTAGGGGAAGGGAGGTGGGGTAGGGGTCGTCCTTGAAAAGGTTGGAGGGAGGGTGTAAAGAAGGTTTTGTGGGCGAGGGGCTTGGACTTCCAGCAAGTGTGCGTGAGCGTATTAGATAAGAGTGAATGGAGACGAATGGTTTTTGGGACCTGATGAGCTGTTACTGTGTGAGCAGGGTAATATTTTGTGAAGGGATTCAGGGAAACCAGTTAACCGGACTTAAAAGTCCTGGAAGTGGGAAGCACAATGCCTGCACTTTAAAGGAGGGGTTTGAGATATTGGCTGTTTGGAGGGACATTTAAACTGTTGTATCTGAGTGCCTCTGCAAAGACAGTGATTATGTATGAATGATGTGAAAGTGTTGAATGATGATGAAAGTTTTTTCTTTGGTTTTGGGTTTTCTTTCTTTTTTTTGGGTCATCCTGTCTCAGTGAGAAGCGGCCAATGTGTTAAAAAAAAAATGTTCAGATTTTTGTGAATGCTCCAATTACATTTTTTTTTTTTTTGCAAATTATAAAATAATGAGCTTCATGGGAAAGTGGAGAAGAATCCTTCTTCTGTAACCCATGTGTGTTGTAAGAGGCGACTAAAATACCAGGAGCAACTGGGTAGCAACGCCTTCTCTTGTATAAATTACTAAATGTAAAAAGAAACACTTTTGTTCCTTCTTTTTTTGGGTCACCCTTACCTTGGTGGGAGACAGCTGGTGTGTTTAAAAAACACCGATTAATTACTTACCCTGAGTTTAGTGTCAACTGAAGGGGCTTGCAGCATGGATATTACCAAGGTACTAGTGAATGTTCGTTGACAAATGCTATAATCAAGAATCTGTCGAATACCAGTCGCAAGTGTTGTCAAGAGGAATGATCTATGCTCCCTATTGTGCTGAACATGAGCAGAAGAAAAAAATTCAAATAATTCTGGAACCTGTAAAAATAAAAAAATATATATATGTATATATAGAATTTCTATATTATAAATACAAGGCAATATACAGTACAGTATTTTTTATTTGCACTATGACAGCACAAAAATGTAACTTGACTGCATTGATGATTTATACAAGACATTTAAAAAAATTCTATGAATATCTAATTCAGTAACCACTGAAGTAAGGCTTGTTCCAGCCCAATAAGTAAGGAGGTGTTAACCCTTAAATGGTCCAAACATATATATACGTTCTCTCGCGTAGCACCCCAAACGTATATACAGTGGACCCCTGCATAATGATATTAATCCATTCCTGAGAGCTCATTGTTATGCGAATGAATTTTCCCCATAAGAAATAATGGAAATCAAATTAATCCGTGCAAGACACCCCAAAGTATGAAAAAAAAATTTTTACCACATGAAATATTAATTTTAATACACACAAACTGAAAAAGACATGCACAGTTACATGACACTTACCTTTATTGAAGATCTGGTGATGATTGATGGGATGGGAGGAGGAGAGAGTCTTAGTGTTTAGAAGGGGAATCCCCTTCCATTAAGACTTGAGGTGTCAAGTCCTTTTCTGGGGTTACTTCCCTTCTTCTTTTAATGCCACTAGGACCAGCTTCAGAGTCACTGGACTTCTGTCACACAACATATCTGTCCATAGTGGCCTGTACCTCTTGTTCCTTTATGACTTCCCTAAAGTGTTTCACAACAGTATCAGTGTAATAGTCACCAGCACGGCTTGCAATAGCTGTGTTAGGGTGATTGTCATCAAAAAAGGTTTGCACTTTAAGCCACATTCCACACATTTCCTTAATCTTTGAAGTAGGCAACTTCTTCAATTTCTCTCTCCCCTCCTCCGAACCAGTTTCCTCAGGTCTGGCCTCTTGCTGTTGAAGTTGATCTAGCAGCTCATCAGTGGTTAGTTCTTCATTGTCCTCCTCCACCAACTCTTCCACATCATCCCCACTAACCTCCAACCCCAAGGACTTTCCCAATGCCACAATGGATTCCTCAACTGGCATACTCCTCTCAGGGTTAGCCTGAAACCCTTCAAAATCCCTTTGGTCTACACATTCTGGCCACAGTTTCTTCCAAGCAGAGTTGAAGGTCCTCTTAGTCACTCCCTCCCAAGCCTTACCTATAAGGTTTACACAATTGAGGATATTAAAGTGCTCTCTCCAAAACTCTCTTAGAGTCAATTGAGTTTCTGAGGTCACTACAAAGCACCTTTCAAACAGAGCTTTTGTGTACAGTTTTTTGAAGTTTGCAATAACCTGCTGGTCCATGGGCTGCAGGAGAGGAGTGGTATTAGGAGGTAAAAACTTCATGTCCCCATACAGTCGCTCTGCCACGTCTGTAGGATGACCAGGGGCATTGTCTAACACCAGGAGGCACTTAAGGTCTAATTTCTTTTCAGTTAGGTAATCTTTCACATTGGGGGCAAATGCATGGTGTAACCAGTCATACAAAATGTCCCTAGTGACCCATGCCTTACTGTTTGCCCTCCACAGCACACACAAATTAGCCTTGAGGATATTCTTTTGCCTGAACTCTCTGGGAGTTTCTGAGTGATACACTAATAAAGGCTTCACTTTGCAATCACCACTAGCATTGGAACACATCAACAGAGTAAGCCTGTCTTTCATAGGCTTATGTCCTGGGAGTGCCTTTTTCTCCTGAGTAATGTAGGTCCTGCTTGGCATTTTCTTCCAAAACAGGCCTGTTTCATCACAATTAAACACTTGTTCAGGTTTCAGTCCTTCACTGTCTATGTACTCCTTGAATTCCTGCACATATTTTTCAGCTGCTTTGTGGTCCGAACTGGCAGCCTCACCATGCCTCATCACACTATGTATGCCACTACGCTTCTTAAATCTCTCAAACCAACCTTTGCTGGCCTTAAATTCACTCACATCATCACTAGTTGCAGGCATATTTTTAATTAAATCCTCATGCAACTTCCTAGCCTTTTTACTTATGATCACTTGAGAGATGCTATCTCCTGCTATCTGTTTTTCATTTATCCGTACCAATAAGAGTCTCTCAACATCTTCCATCACTTGCGATCTCTGTTTCGAAAACACAGTTGAACCTTTGGCAAGAACAGCTTCCTTGATTGCCGTTTTGTTGCCCACAATAGTAGCGATGGTTGATTGGGGTTTATTATACAACCTGGCCAGCTCGGAGACACGCACTCCACTTTCATACTTAGCAATGATCTCTTTCTTCATCTCTATAGTAATTCTCACCCTTATTGCTGTAGGGTTGGCACTAGAAGCTTTCTTGGGGCCCATGGTCACTTATTTTGCAGATAAAATCACCAAAAACACTGTAATAATACAAAATGTTCCGATTGTATGCTTGGATGTTACCGTGGAGGCTGGCAGGTAAACAATGCCACTGGCGGAACATGTGAGGCTGGCTCAGGCCGCACATTAGATGCATCTCGGACGAACAGCGTTGAGCGGGTTTTTTAGCGGTATGCGAGGCAAAATCTTAGCAATAAAATGTATCGGTATGCGGATTTAACGTTATGTAATGCCAACGGTATGCGGGGGTCCACTGTATACATTTTATTTTCCATTCATTCAAAATTGGCACGATAGGCCTGAACCACCTAGACATGAGAGAATGGGTGTGCACACTCAGTGTGCACGGTATGAAAAAAATTGGGGACGCCTGGGTACCACATGGTAGGTCCAGTTACATTCAGCTCCATCTTGGGTCAGCATCATGGCACATCCTCGTGATTCACTCACGCCTTGTCGTATTAACACTCTACTATTCGAGGAAAGTGATATAGATCATGAGTTTAGTGGATCTAACACCAATGGGGCCAGTAATATTCAAGGAATTAGTGAAAATGTTGACGATAACCCAGATGACCCTCAGCCCACCACCTCTGTGGTAGCGACACCTATTCTAGGGCTAAGCACCTCTGGGGTAGCCAGTGTGGCCACAGCAGACCCTAGGCCAAACACTTCTAGGGTGGCCAGTGTGGCCACAGAAGACCCTGGGCCAAGCACCTCTGGAGTGGCGAGTGTTACCCATAGGCAACTTCGCAAGAGGAAACTATCATTTTCCCGGTATTTTAGTGATAGTGAAAGTGATGTAAGTGACGATGAGATTGATTTTATGCCATTTGAGGATTCGTCTAGCGATAGTGAAGTTCATTATTCACCAGTGATGTGTACTTTTGGGCGTCATTATCTATGTTCAGGCAGTGTGCCATGTGCAATCCCCAAGGGTCGTGGCAGGTCACGATCCAAAACCCTGGCCACTGATAGTGAAAGGTGATCATGAAGGCGAGTATGCGGGGATGGAGGAAGTAGTGGTGGGTGGCACGGTGCCTGGACCACATGGCACAGTGGGTGGACAGACAAAGGACCGCCCGGCATCCCCTCAACCACGTGCTGCCTCCACTCCTGTCCCTCCTGCTCCCCCTTTCCACATGCCACAGGTCCACCCTGCACCATGTGATCATGAGTGGAACTGGACACAAAGTACATATATTCGTGCCACAGCCTTGTGATTTTGATGCGAGTGGAAGTGGTGTCGTTATGTCCCATAACGAATGAGTCTACAGAGTTAAACTATTTCCAGTTGTACTCTGATGAGCCTATAATGAACTTGATAGTGACCCAGACAAACGATTTTTACCGATATGTCATGGACAACATAACAGAGGTTGGAGAATCGTCACGGCTGCACAGGTGGAAGGACACAACAGTGGCTGAAATGTATTTATTCTTTGCCACTGTCATGCTTGTGCCACATATCTATAAGAACAATATACATAATTACAGGTCCACAGACCACTTCATCAGTACTCCAGTTTTCCGTGACCTCCTTCCTTTCAACAGATTCACCCTGTTGCTATGAATGTTGCACTTCTCAGACAAAAATACGCCAAACAGAAATGACCTATACAAAATCCGGGAAGTGTTTATGTATTTGAAGCAGGAATTCAGTGCATACTTTTATCCCTTCAAGAACATTATTGTTGATGAGTCCTTGATTCTGTTCAAGGGACGCCTGTCATTCAAGCAATATATACCGAGCAAACGTAATCGCTATGGTATAAAACTTTTTATGTGTGACTGTGAGAGTGGTCTTGTGCTGGATGTTATTTTATACGCCGGGAGAAATACACTTGATGATGACAGATGGATGTTGGGCATTTCCGGTGATGTTGTTCGCAGGATGATGGAACCATACCTTGGCAAGGGCCATACATTGTACACAGACAACTGGTATACAAGCCCTATGCCCGCTGATTTCCTATGTGTGAACAATACTGATATTTGTGGAACAGTGAGAAGGAATAGAAAACTTATGCCAAAGTTCAGTGGAGGCAGTGTTGAAGGTGCAGTGCAAGTGTTTCATGCTAATGACATCATGGCACTGACGTGGCATGACAAACGGGACATGACATTGCTGTCAATTATCCACAGAAATGAGATGGTACAGACAGACAGACTGAGCAAGTTCAACAAAGAACCTATTGTAAAGCCAGCTGCTGTCGTGGACTATACGAACAATATGCGACTAGTTGACAAGTGTGACATGATGATAGAGTTTGTTGACTGTGTGCATAGGAGTCACAAGTGGTATACAAAACTGTGTTTTCACCTTGTAGACATTGCAGTGCTCAATGCATTCAATATGTACGAAATAAAGACTGCAAAACGACAACGTTTTGCAGAATTCTCTCTGAATGTTGTCAAACAGATAGCAAGAAAGTATGGTACCACACCTGTACCTGCCCTTCAACGGTGACCTGTCACACCACAACCTGTCCCCCAACCACAGCCAGTGGGGGAAGTGCCAGACCAAATCACTCCTAACTGTCACTATCTGGTACCAATACCACCTACCCAAAAGAAGAAGAATGTCCAGAAAAAGTGTGTTGTGTGTGCTACCACCAAAAGACGACCCCAACAGCGGAAGGATACATGATTCATTTGTTACCAGTGTGGGGTGGC